TGGATGAAACAATGGCAATCCATTGGCTAAAATGGCTGAAACAAATATCCTGGATCATCTGTCAAATGAAGAATATACACATCAGAAGGGTGTCAACACAGGTCATAGGAGAAGATCAAACTTGATAAGCAAATGCACATATCAAAACTACAATATACTAACAGCTGATGTTATTCCACGATGAAGTTTATAAAGATGCACATGAGAAGAGCTCCAGTCATAGCTTGGAACACCTGATCCCTTGCGTGTGCATGTTGGCATTATCCGGAAGATGTTGATGTTATTCCCATAGACTGATGCAGTGACAAGAAGAGTCCCGCTAGGGTCAAAACATAGTGCAGATATAGGACTAGTGTGTGCCTTAAACTGTGAAATGATGGCTCTGGATACAAAATCTTTCACAACAACCTGCAATCATCAATAGGAACCAAGTAAAAGATCATAATTCTCATCAAATGCCCATAAATTTCCAGCTTTTAATTAGCTCAACCACCATGAAATAATACTAACCATTCCTGCATTATCCATATCCATTCCTGCAACCCTACCAACTTTCCAACCTGAATTTGATGGCACTGGAGAACTAGAACCATCAGGAAGCAGCTCTTGACAGTATTTGATAATTCCAGAAGCCAGATGTTTGCCAGACTCCATTGCATAACGAGCAACCAAACTACCACTGCCAGGAGATGTTGATGGACTAGCTCCTGGAGAAGGACTCAGGTTTTGTGGGCTCAAGCGGCCTACATTTAAGGGCAGTGGACTGTTAGAAGCATATGCTAACCACCTTGGACCCACAGCCAGTGGACCATAACCAACATTAACACTTGCAGTTCCTTGTCCTGCTAGCTGAGGAACAGGATAGGTGAGCACGCTAAATTTATTCTCAAGAGTCAATGCATCAAAGCAATAAACCTGCCAGTTAAGAGAAAGGACATCAATCACAGTATATCTAACACAAATAAACTAAGTCAAATAAACCCCATCATCTTTAATTTGATAAAAATGTGATACAGTGAGTAATTAATTTATTTTCAGCAAAACAAGTTAAATAATTTCAAAAGGCCACATCATACTTGTGTGGCAAGACCAACAGCTACTATGCGAGAACTGCATCTGATCATACAGACTGTGGACCGAAATCTCAGAATATGGACATAACTATGAGACTTCAGGGAGTAAAACCGAACAGCTGTTGCAGATTTGACACAGTTCCCAGATTGAGTCTCGACAATACCATCCCTTCCAAAACCACCCAAATGGGTGCAATTCTGGATATTACTGCTGGAGTCATCACCAGCAACAACCAGCAGTATCGGATGTGATTTTCTAAACCCTTCTTGACCATCAGTGCCTACAGGGAAAGGTTGCATCTGTAAGAAAGAAACAGGACCATCACGCTTTGAGACCAGTTCACTAAAGCTAGAGGCATCCTCCACATCAAGAACTTGAAATCCATTTAGATAACCAAGCAAAAGAACATGCTTAAAGATAGACTGCTCAAGCTCCAGCCTATCAAAACCAGCCCATGTTACCTGTTGGCAAAAACGTAAAGGAGAAATTGTATTACAGGGAAAGACAGTGGATACAGGAGCAGATAATTTAAATTGTAAAATTTGGGACAGCAGCAAGTCCATCATAACAAGAGCACTTGACAGGATTATAGCAAATTCACGCAACCTGCATATGAGCTAGATGACAAAAGTATATAATAACTCCATTTACCAAGTCAAAGCCAGTAAAACAAACATTGAAGCTAAAATCAGTTAACTCATTGGGTGCATATGAACTATCAAGTCTGACCACATTAAAGCGTGTGAAATAAATATAAACATGGAACCTAGGTACAGTTTATTTGTTACCTTGTAGGAAGTTGGAAGGAAGTTATTCAAATTAACATGATTATTCCCTAGGATAGCTCACCGGTTCTGAATACATTCCTGCTAAGCTAGTTAGTAAACAGACTCACAAATGTTTTCCTGCAGTAGAATACATGGGTAAAAATATGTCCCTCGAAGTGAAGAGTGGCCTGTAAAGTTCTTGTATTCAATCACTAAAAAGTTCAACCGTGCATCTCTTATCATATGTTGGCAGTGTCTAATGTGTGCGTACTGGAAGAAATAACTTCAGCGAGCTTTTAAATGCGCTTAAATTAGCCAAAAGCTTGAGTGAGCGCATAATAGTCATTGATATCTTCAGTTGTAAACTAATCCATACGTCATATTAGGCCTAATTCATTGGGAGATTGATATTCGTTCCGCGACATTTGGTGATGAAAGAAAAATATCAGACTCACAATCGTGATCAAGTCCTTCGTGTGCCTAGTGATTAACCTAATGAAAACTAGAATCATTATAGAATAAGCAAAAGCAAAACGTATTAATATAATTATAGAATAAGCACTACTACATGAATTTATTCAAATTAAGAGGCAATATTTCCCGCTCACTCGGTTTCCACGAAAAAAAAAAAAAAACGCGCACTAGATGTCGAACCACACGGCATAAAGCAAGTAGTTTCGTCCGTTCGTTTGAGCGACCTTAACATAATAAATCCGAAAACGGAGAAGTACCTGATCCTTGTGATCCTCAGAAGGAGAGGAGATGGAAGAAGCGACAGAGGCGCCAGCAGAGCGTACAGTGGAAGCAACGGTGCTAGCATTCGTGGACACAGTCTTGAGGCAGGAAGAGATAATCCTCAATGAATTGGGCAACAAGCCGTTGTTCTTTCCCTTGCCTTTCTTCATGATAATTCCACGGGCTCAACTTCCACCGAAAGCGAAAGGGCAAAACTAGTGATTTTGACGCGAGGGTCTGGTACCTCGAGGATGGGCGCTGCCAGCAGCGTCACCGCTTCCACCGACAAGAAACATTTCCGATCAGAGAAGAACGGAAATTTCATTCGATTGAGAGACGATCAAAGCAAGATATGGAGGTGGTTAAGACGGGCTTGTTAACTGGGTTTGACCTGAAGCAGATGAGAAAGTTGGGAATACTCTGTGTGTGCTCAGATTATATCAAAGCTTGCTACTACTGTAATTGCTTTCGCTTTCTCTCCCATCACTGCTGCTGTGAGCCTCCTCCGCCAGTAATTTCTATTTTTCTCCCCTCTCTCCCTCCGCTTTTTTCTCCAGCCAGTTTTGTTTTGATCGTGGATAAAATAAGACCAACGGACCGGGCTCCGTAGATACTAGATACTAAGATACAGATCCTCCTCCTGCATTCGCTATTTGAAATTTCAATTTTGTAACTAACCAAAAACATTTGTATTGATTTTCTACCGGGAAAATCTCAAAATTTTTAATTCAAATTTCAGTACTGCTATAATTGCAAATATACAATTAAATTAAAACTGTTGTATTTTTATATTAATTTATTAATTATATTTTGATTAATGATAAACATAGTATTAAAATACTATTAAATTAATATTTTGATTAATTCAATGAAAGAAAATAATAATAACTGTAAGAGCTTTGTTCCTTTAAATGCTCAGCTTAAATTAATTTTATTTATCTGGAATACTTTTAATGGGTGAACAAATTATATTTAGATGCCCAAAGCTATCACAAATGACAAGAGCCAAAAGGAATGTAAATAAAGAAAGTTATAATCAATGGGATTAAATCAAGTAAAAAGGATTGGTCATTTCTAATATAATGAACTAAAGTTTGAATCAAAGATATGCTCAACCATATTTCAAATAAGATTATCCCTGATAAAAAAAAAAAGCATTTGTATGCAATAAAACTTCAAGGTTTTGACTTGCAATTGAATCTTAAGGTTTTGATTTAAAACATAATATTCTTGAGTTACTCCTCACCCTATTTGTTATCTTTCTTATTTTCAGTGATTATTATTCTTTATTTGTGACATCAAAACTTTGTTTTATTTAGTACCAATATAAGAAAAGATGACATTAAAAATTCATAATTAAGCACTCAATCATATTAGGTGTTTGACTTTTCACATTGATCTAAACACACTCACATTTTAATAATGTGGTTGTTTTCGTTACTCACACTTTTTATTATTTTTCTTTTAAGATCCAAACTAAAAAGATACTAAGCAAAGTGAAAATCTACGTAAATATAATAGAGTGATTGGATTATCTGATAATAAAAATATCAAAATATAAAACAACAACATTGTGTTGATTGAGAGACTGTGAGATCACTTGAAACAAGGGAAGTGTAAAGTTATTTTTTTTTTTTAACTATTGAGTGAGCATTTTGAGTGGTTAGAGTTAGATTATTGGAATGCCCCTTGGAATAATTAGAAAGATAAGAAATGCTCGTGCCCGGTCAAGGACTCTTTAAAATATGTGACTATAAATTGTATTTGTCAAGAGCCATTAATGCCATTAGAAAGCCTGAAGGTTGGAAGTTGGAACCGTTGGGCCAACGATGTATTCCCCGCAACTGGACATGCTGGAGTTTTTTTTTTTTTTTTTTATCACAAATGATAAAATAGGTTTCATCGGTTCGTCCACTTTAACTCTTTTTAAAGCAGACTATTCGTAATTAAAGCTCTTTTGTATTTTTAAATTTTAAATCTTTCAAATAACATTTCACACAACACAAATTGTTGTTCTTTATCAAATCAAGATTCAAACGTTACCAGTAAGAGTGATTATTAGAATTTGAATGATAAAAGTTCTTTTATTTTCTTGCCTCACACATTTTTGAATGTAGATATTTTAAAATCAGGAATGTGCTAAGTGAATATGATGGGATGAAGGAAGAAACTGGAGTTACAAGGCAGATTCATAAATGTATATAAAATATCTATCATGATAACATGCCACGGTTAACTGTCATCATCCAGAAGGTTGTTAAACGCAGCATGAAAACGTTAAGCACTCGTGGCTGTCTTTCTGTCAAGCGCAAAGATTAATTTTTGCTGTAGGCCAACTAAAGCCAAATTTCTTTAATCATTTCCAATTCTACCTTTATATTAACTACACGTATGAAGAAAAGCAGGGCAGAGAAGGAACCAAAAAAAAGAATGCATTTTTTTTCAATTAAATAACTCAATATTTGATCTCTTCTAAAAAAATTCTAATTATATACATATGATGTGAGATTAGTCTTTAAAAAAAAACATTGTTTGGCTCAAAAAAAAGGTGGTGAAAGAAATATCTCCAACATCCTTTCTCTGAACCCTACAAAAATTTCTCACAAGAAGCAAGACTAAAGCTTGCTTTCCTTGTGCTTCACGTACTGAGCAGAGTTTTCAACTGCTTCAGCGCAGTCTGATTTCTTTCCCAAAAACGAAAAACTAAAAGGGAAGATAAGGATCATGAGATGTCTGTCTTTCCTGGTTCCTCTGCACTATTCAGAATCAAGGAGCTCTTCCTGGAAGAGCTTTCGGAAAAATGGCAACCGACTCTTCTTCATGCTCTTAAAGCAGCTAAGATTGCCATTCAGAAGCTGCACAATCTGCAACACAAATCCAAACATCTGTTCCTTAAATGGTGAACTTTCTTATATGCCAAGGCTTGTAAACATAAACCAAGAACAAAACATGCCTGTCTCATGGAGGGTCTGCGAATTGAGGACTGGTGTATGCTCAAAGAAGCCACCAATAGCACAAGATTCATCTGCCGTGTATCGAACGCATCACCTAGTGATGGATCTATCAGCTCCCTAATCCTGTTCTTTTTCAACAATGGTTTTGCCTGCAAAATTTGCAGCACGCTAAATAACACTTTCCTGTTCTTCTGTGAAGGCTTCTTTGTGTGTGTTTAAGGGTAAAAACATACCCACAAAACAAGGCTTTGTTGTGAATAATCAAGGGCTCGCCTACCAGTGACCAATTCTAACAGCAGAACGCCAAAAGCAAATACATCTGTTTTCTCGTCTACTATGCCATGAAGCAAGTACTCAGGAGCAAGATAACTGTTCCAGTTTAAATAAAAAATAAAAAATTAGGTGAGGAGAGGTAGAAATATGAAGCATCTAAACTTGACGAATTAAGGTCTTCACAACACAAACCCAAAGGTTCCTTCGAATTTTGAAACGGTATGGTGAGTCCAGTTCTCTGGCAGCCATTTTGCTAGCCCATAATCACATATCTGCAATAAAATTTCATAACATTTCAAGCTAATCCTTACTATATTGTTTAGAGTATTAAACTCGTAACTAGAAAAGCCAAAATCAAACCTGCGGCTCGTAATCCTCTGTCAGTAAGATATTTGCCGCCTTTATATCTCTGTGGATAATTCTTCTTTGACAGCCCTCGTGGAGATACAATATACCCTTGGCCGTCCCTAACGCAATGTCATACCGAATGCACCATGGCAGATTTTCCTTGGAACCTAATAAAGCAGGAGAGCGAGAGATTTAAAGTTTTGATCAAAAAAGTCATTTGTGGAAGGAAAATCGTTGAGCACATACCGTGAAGTACTGAAGCTAAGCTTCCTTTTTCAGAGAATTCAAGAACAAGGTGCATGCCTCCTTCAACGCCGTAGCCAACTAGCTTAGCAGTATTGGGATGATTAACATGCGCCATTATGCCCAGTTCTGATAAGAAGTCGCTTATAATCTCATCTTGGGTTCCACGTGTCAGCTTTTTAATAGCCACCAGCTGACCATCTGGTAAGCACCCTTTGTAAACTTCAGCATACCCACCCTTCCCGATAAGGTTTTCTACAACGGGGCAAAAAAAAAAAAAAAGGACGCAATAAGATGAGCATTTCTCAGTGAGAGAAGCCAATTTTGAGAACACGTTAGTGCATACCTTGACTGAAGGAACTGGTTGCGAGTAGAATTTCCCTGTGTGTAAAGATCTTCCATGGTGAATTGTGGAGAGACGAATCTGCACCTAAGCGGGAACTTGGAAAAATAGTCTCTCTCATGCTTCTGCTCATTCTCTTAGACAGCTTGAGGACACTGAGAGGAGGATGCATGGTGGTAGGTGAGGATTTTTTAGACCTGGTCGTCAGATGTTGCAGAAATCCACGCCATTTAGAAGCAAATTTTGACTTATCTTGAGCCTCAGAATCTACGGTGGGTTCTTTGGAAGAACTTGTGTCGGATTCTGAGCTTCGAAAGTAGTCCTCAAGAACCCCAACAGGGGAATCTGCTTTCTCCTTCATTTCTTCAGGCCTCAAACCCAAAACCACCCAACTCTCTACCTTCTTTCACAAAGAGAAATGGAAAAATTTGTTCGGGTTCTTCTTCCAAATTTATGAGAATTATTTATGCAACATGACGAGGTATTAAAAGCAACCCAGAAGACACAACATAAGACTTTGTTTGACAATATAGATAACCACAGGAAATAGCTAAAACTAAGAAACGTTCTGAAAGTTTACTGAACAAGAAAACAGAGGACACGGCACAGAGGATTCTAGACAAAGTATCACAATACAGAGTAAAACTGGCTAGAACGGAAACGCTGAAGGAGATTCAGGGAGACAAGAACAGAGGACAGAGGAAAATAGATAGTTTTGCGTATAGAAATGGCTCAGAGACACTTGAGAGGGGAGATACGGACATCACAGGCTGAGGCTGCTTACTTAGCCTTTCCGCTTCAACAAACAAGGAACACAGGGCTTTTGAATAAATTAGAGTCACAATATTAAAATAAGAAATAAAAAGGAAAAAAGAGTTTTGTTGTGTAGGGGGTGGAGATATGATTGAAGATTAACATGGATGGACGTGAGAAATAAGAAAAGCAGAAAAGTGAGAGAAATGATTAATAATTTGGAATGTAGAAGAAGACTGAAGAGGTGGCGAAGATGGCTTTATCCGGGCAGGGCAGCTTCTTTGGTCAGAGACGTCTCGGCTTCTGTCTGTGGTCTTCCCTTTGATACGGCACGTGAATTTCGTCACGTAACGTGAAATTTGTGTCGTTTCAATTCAAGCCAGGACCACCCAACACCGGACCGCTCTTTCAGAAATCAGAACATTGTCAAGTTCACAACCTAAAATTACATCTTTGGACCTGTGATTTTACTTTTTTATAAATTCAAAATTTTAAAATCATACAAAATAAATTTATTTTTAAAGGTAAGTCGTGTTTATACTTTATAGCCTATAATAAATATTATTTTGATTGATGATGTTATTACCAAATCCTGACATAATATATATTTAAAAAATATGTCTCTTTATGACTCATTAATAGTAATAATAATTTTTAAAATTTAATATTAAATTTAATAATAAAAATTTAAAAATTAGTATTATTTTTTACCTAAAATTAATATTACCAATATCAATATCACCGTCAATATCATCAACATAATTATAAAAGTTGTAAAGAGTCAAATTGATAATTATTCTCAAATAATTTTTATATTATATATTCATAAAGGTCTTTAGATGTTCTTTCATCAAAATTTGAAGCTTTTCTTTTAGCCAAACCATTTTTTTCCTTTTTAAGGTCACTTTCGATCTCGTATGCTAACCCAACCCTTTATTTGTTGAATAAATGTATTATGTAACGATATATAGGGATTAGTGGCAAATAGTCCGATTTAATTAACCATATGTATCTAATCAAATAGGTGTTGAACCCAGCTTGGAATCTTAAACGGAAATTTGTTGCTCCTGGCAAGAAAAAAATAATAGCAAGTTTGGCAATGTTTGATATTATTATTTGAATTGAATAAATTACATGATGTGTACCAACTTTACATCTATATGTTATGTTCACACTAAAAAAAAAAAAAGTGGTGTCTGTATTTTCTCATTCTAAAATATTTATTTTATACTAAAAACAATAGAATAAAAAAGTCGACATGACATTTATTTATATTTAAAAAAAATTGAAAAGTGCTAGTAATGAAGTATACACTGAAGTGTTTGAACTTTGGACTTTGAATTGCAGTCTCATGTTAGTTGTTCAGCATTCCATGTCGCTGCGGACAATGAAAACGAGATGTGACCGTATTTAATAATTAATTTTGATCTCATGCAGGTACCACAATTTTGTCGTGGCATGCTCGATGTCCCATAGCTATCTTCATGTTAAAACGGATAAAAACAACATTAAGTTTTTTTTTAAAATAAAAACAAAAACAAAAACAAAAATAGAGAAACTAACGGTCTCTGACCTGAACCTTAGAATTAAGAGGGACAGGTGCAATATTTTCTTACACTGAACAGTTCCCATCAACTGAGTCAAGAGGGCGAGTAAGGGGAAGGCGTTGCCAATAAACAAACGCAGTGCATGATTATTATTCACTAATTAATTGATTAATTAAGTCGTAATCGGGTGTCACTTGCGTTGTAAATTAGCGTGTAGGAAAAAGCGTAAGGGACATAGCGTAGCAACCAATCCCGGGGGATGAAATTATAAAATATATACATACATACGGTTAGTTGCCTTGGTTATGATTTCCGCGTCATTAACAAAATCGCAGTATTCGCAGAAGAGACCCCTCATCCAAGGATCTGGACTTTGTAACCACATACACTCAATACCCTTATTATTCATTGTTATTATGATTTTTGGCCTTTACTCAATACACTTCATTATTAGCACTCGCTATTATGTTCTTCACCAACAAATCCTCTAGGTCCCAATCCTTCATCATTTAATACCCTTTCCACATCGTTTCCATTATATGCGTGATCAACAATCCCCCCCCCCTCCCAACCTTAATTTTTTTATCATTAAAAAACCCTTATTATACAATATTTACCCATTTAACTATATTGCCACGTACTAGCTAGTTGAGCCGAGGTCTAAATGTCAAATTTTGGCAATATAATGAATTTTTGTTCCTTAAAAAAGGGGTTTTCGGTTTTCGGTAGGTGTTTTTTCAAATTTGGATTATGCATTCAATAAGTTTCTTAATTGCAACCGTTAGATTTAATTAATACTTAAAAATTATTGAGATATATTTTTCTTCAAAAATTTCTAAACAACCCTCACAATTAGAACACTTCTTACATATATTATCCCTCCTAAAAATTTAAAATTTGGTTATACAAGCCATTTGATAAAATCAAATAGTTGTTGTCATACTACATGCATAAGATATTCATTGAATGAGTAGATTCATACCATTTACTAGCTTCAAATCCTTTGTTCCCTAATAGTCTAATATAAAATGTCATGAGGCCCATTTATGAGTTAATAGCAATGTTTTGGGACTTAAATGGTTAGACTAGTCAAACCATCACACAATTAAAAAAAAGTGATTTGGTTCAAGCATTTAACTCATTTTGATAGTTTCGTTATGTCAACTCGCTGTGATCCAAACAAGTTTTGAAAACTCAGTAAAAACCCAAAATTCAAAATAGTTAAATTGTTTTGAACTATTTTTTTCCTTTTACCTTTTTTTTAAGCAAACCTTTTACCCTTATTTAGTAATACAATTTTTTATTCAATTTAAAAATATTAATGTCAACTTACTGCTAGATTATCATAGTAAAATATTGAGCAAATGATTTGTATATCGGCATTATATGAATGAAACTGTAGAAAAAATTAAAAACTCATTTACCTTAAAAAAACAAACAAGGTAAATAATATATGTATATTTGTATGTATGTATGAAAAAATGAGAAAATTAAAATTTAATATGTTATAATTGGACAAACTCTAAACATGGAATGATATTGTCAATATTTTTAATGTTTTATTTACATATACGTGTGTGTGTGTGTAAATATTATTTTTTCTAAATTATCAAGTTATTGATTTAACTACTAGTCTAATTAGTTAAATAATGAAAACTGTGGTCCTGGTTTGATTTTTAAAAGGGAGAATTGCATTCAAAGCCCCTAGAACCAAGAAATTTGCAAACAAGGTCCAAAGGAATATAAAATTATTCTAAGAGTTTAAAGACCTTATTTGCAATTATATTTTTTAGTAGGATTATCCATTTGCCCCTCCTATAATTAGTTTATGTTTGTGTGAATCTCTTCTTTCTCACTCTTCTCTCTCTTCCTGTTTTGTGTTGATCACAAAGGGGGCCTATGGTGGCAGAAGCAAGGACATGTGTGTTCATGTCCCCATCCTTCTTCCTTACTCTTTCTTCTCTTGCCCCAGACCTTGTATTCAATCACAAGAGAAAGGATTATTCAGCCTAGAATTTGTGAAGATGATGAAGTAGGAGTGTCTTGGCAGGACTTTGCTTTAGTACTCAGGGATATATGGTTGCAAGCACTGAAGTGGTAAGTGATTTAAACTTACTTCCCCATCTCTCTCTCTCTTTCATTTTGAAGATTGCACATGTGTGTAGAGAGAGGGTTATATTAAAATTGTGTGAGTTTTTAAGGTTTCTTAGGTGAAGAATGGTGAATATGCTATTTGCATTTTACATAAGGTAAAAGTTGAACTCTTTGGATTTGAAATTACCTATGAGCCCAAATGGATTTTGTGATGTGAGAAAACCATAATGTAGTGTTGTAGAAATATGAATGTTATCTTGTTAATGTAAGTGTCCAACTGTATTAAATATATATAATGGTGAAATTGTCCTCAAGACTTTAAGTGTGATTTGGTTGCTAATATAATCTAACTTGGTTGCTGAAATAATCTGACTTGTTTCCTAAACTAGGTTAGTAATAGATGTTTTAGAGTGGATTATTTGTTATGAAATTATGATAATTTACTTGTTCATATTGAGTGTTCATATATATATTAGGAAATTCATGACCTAACCATTGTTATGAAAATGTCCTATCAAAAACACTAGATTATGTATTGTAAAAACATTAATATTGTATTGTTTATATTGTGAAAAATAAAAATTGGGTTTCTATGTGGACATTTTCTCATGTTAATTTATTTGTTGCAGGTTCACACAAGAGATGGATTATTTTGATCATTGTTTCCCTAGTTTGAACTCTGTGAACATGAACTTGTCAATTTTGAACATATTCTTGTGAGTATATAAATTTTTACTTGTAAATATTCAAACTTGGACTTGTCACTATGTGAACCTTTTGTTATTAATACAAGAACTTGCAATTGACAAAATGTGAGTAATTACCTTACATGATTTAATAATTGTCTACATTAATTGCATTGATAACTTGTGGAGGTATATAAAGTGGTTAAGGAGAAACAGCCATAAAAGACATATCTTTGTACGGGATGACATGAGTTTAAGAAAGAATTCTTAAAGAATAATAAAGGATTGGATGAGAGTGAAATTATACTCTATTTCTTTGGATTTATAGGGAGTTAGAAACAAAAACGAAGAATTAATTTTTATTATTGGAATCTAAAGTCGTGCAGATGTGAACATATAGTTTTAAAAATTGAATTTGCTATCACTGAACCTTAGTTATGAATATATAAAGTTGTAAGAAGTTTAATTTGCGAATAGCTAAATATAAACCTATGAATATTAGAATTTTTACTTATAAATTTATGAACTTTGATAATTTATGCATGACTTTGATGATTGTAGTATTCATGTCATTACATGCCTTAAAAGCTAGAACAATACTTTGAATGTTGACCATTCTCTATTTACCATCCTTAAATACATGACCTAAGAACTAGTAAGTACTAGATGTGACATTTTATCTTGAATAGTGAAGCATCCCAATAAGAACCAGAGGAAAACAAAAATGATAAGATAAAGCATCAGAATGTAATTAGTATTACTTTAGCCAGGATTGTGTCTTTGCTATCTTAAATTTATTTTTTTGTATATGGAATTGATTTTTTTTTTACAAATGGATATATGGCAAATATTA